AGTTGGGTTAAGTTGTGGGTCAACTGACTAGTGTGGTGTCATTCGTAAGAGAGATCCCAGAGATTTTTCCATGCACGATTGCTTCAGGCTCCCTTGGCACTGATGCTCTCCCCCCTATCGCCCTGTTGCCAGAAAGCTCTCTTGGCTAACGCTAGCTGCTGGCAGATGTGTTTTCCATCTACACTGCAGTGTTAGAAATTCTCTACGTGACCTGCCCTGTGTGGAAGAGATCCCCTTTGCCTTTCAGACACCTTGTCATGCTGAATGCTTCAAGAATACTACAGTCTCTCATTTTAAGATGCATCATACCCATGGACTGGGTATGCTTGGGCTTGCAGTTTGCCCTGAAATTGTCCTTAACACAAGCTCAGTCTAGGTAAAAGCAAAAGTAAGGGTCTATCTGGAACACATAGAGAGACAGGACTGTTACCAAGGCTTAGAAAGACACAGGTGACTGGAAGGAAAGCTACTTGAGATGAAATTTTAACAGCAGTTCTTATTTGTATCCAGATGAGAAGCTGTAGTTTCTTCCCTAACCCTTGTGGGCAGATATTTGACACTGGTGCACAGCCAACATTTCTATATAGTGTTCACAAGAGGGAATGCTGGCATGAGGAAGAAGGTTTGCCTTTACATCCCACCCTCTCCACAGAGTTTCCCTGTCTTCCACCACAATTTCATTTTTCTTTTTCCCATTTCCCCTCTTTACCAATGATTTCTTCCTTCTTGGTCCAGTTTGTAGTTTTTGACCTTTCATGTCCTAGATCATTCTCTACTTCCCTTCTTCAGAAATGCTCCTGTCTCTCTGATAAAGTCAACTTAGTTATCTCTTGTATGCCCAGACAGAGAGCAGCCTCTTTTCAGGATGGTACCAGGGCTTGGCTAAGCCCTGGATGTAATGGCAGGACACTGTGAGGACGGACACTTTCATCTGCTATGCGGGGCAGGGTTCAGATGGGAGGAAGTTTTGAAGTTACGAACCTTGCATTTTGTACAAATGTGACTTGCTAACTGCACATACCTGGGGCTGATGTATGCAGAATGATCTTCAGAAGACCAGAAACAATAATAATTAATCACTCTGGAATCATGGTAAGTGTGGAGGTGAGAGATACTGTGACATTCACGGTAAATGCTGTTGGTGTTGGCAATTATTTCTGGGGCAATAGTGAGTAGAGAAAAGGAACAGAGGAAAGTTATTGAGGGATTCATTTTGTTCTTCCTTAAATGTGGTTTCACTTGACTTAAACCAGCCCTAAACATAGCCTTGTGTATCAGTTTAACTAGATTGGTTTGTATCCATGCCTTCCATTAAAATGACATACACATCTGTGTATCTGAGACTGTAGTATGGTATGGATATACTTGCTGGGCTTGCTGCCATCTCTAGGTGTATTTGGCTGACTTCGTAACAGCTACAGTCCAAGTTATAACTTCACAAAAGTGCAGGCTGTATTTGGCCCATACGTAGTGCTGCCAGCAAAGATGGATCAGAAATACCATTCAGAGCAGAGTAGAGCTGTTTGCGTTCTGAAGAGGATGAACTGAGATGGGCCTTAAAGGTGTAAAGATTATTCTGAAAGTGATCAGGAACTTCAGGCTTCTGTGTTATGCTCTGTTGCAGAACTGTGATGTGTCCTGTGCTTATGGTTGGCATTTGCAGCAAAGCATTCTTGAAAGACACCCGTCAGGACTGGCATTTGTTGCCGATAGATTTCTCACCTCCTCATAATTTTAAAGTTATGGAGAAAAAGAAAAAAGTCTTTTTTACTTTGTTTCTTAATTTACTGTGTTTTCACTTCAGGGTTTTTCTGTTGGCTTGCAAATAGGGATAATTCAGAGCAGCATCACTTTAGTCCCTCTTTTGGGACTGAAATGTGCAATTCAGTGTTTCAGTTTTGGAATCACTGAGAATACCTTGTAATTGCTAATCAGAGATCTCTACTTACTCTATGTGGAGACAAAGCCTCAGCTATGGGTACAGCTTGATTGTAACTCCTTAGCAGATATTTAAAGCCTAATGCTTTGAGGTAACTGGTGTGTGTGCTCTTCTCCTGCATAGTTTTTAAAGGTTAACTATGGGGTAAAGGAAGACTGAAATGAAGACATTGTAGTTAATAATTTATTCTACATATTTTATTTCAAACAGTTCATTAAATGCTCATATATCTATACATATGTATTTTTACTTATTCTCCAGACGCTGTCAGCAAGTAAGTCACCATCTGAAGTTTGTTCATGAAATATGTGGTGTAAAGAATCAAGTGTGGAATTACTGTGGGTTAAATACATCTCACTTTGTGCTGTATTTGTTTTGTGATTATGTGACCTCTGTGTTTTGAGCTTTGATAGCTAAGTGATGATATATGAACTCAGCTGCCTGCCTGCCCTCTCTGTCTGAGGTTATCTTCTTCAGTGCAGGGCTAACAGGAAAATGTGTCTCTAGTTGTGTACCTTGGTGCAAACTCACCTTTATCAGCAATTTCAATTAAAATGAACTTTGCAATGAAACTACTTGTGTAGAGACAGATGTTCCCTTCTGCCGATCCTGATGCAATATTGACAACCTGTAGCAGAGAGACAGGGAGAAAGGCTGCAGGAGGTACCACCTTAATTTACCACAAGAAAATTAGACAGAGATTGTCTGTCAGAGACGTTAAATGAACCAGGGAAGTGTACCTTTTAAAATAAATACTAAATTAGAAATTCACACAGAAAGTCTTTGAACTCTGGAGCAAAAATGCACTAGCATGTTTGAGCATTTTAGTGTTGTCAAGAAGGGAATATAGAGAGCCCATGATGCCATTTGAAACTTCAAATTTTTTCATTAATTCTAATGGAGATTTGGCTCAAAGCTTCTCTTTTATGCTTCTGAATGAATGTTAAAAGTAGTTAGTGGCTTAGCAATAAGAATTCATCCCCATGGTTGGTAATGAGAATGACTGCTTTGACTTAGCAACACAGAAACATTAATTTTCTGGATGCTGCCTGGGTCAGCTGTGTGCACTCCAGGCTGTGCTTACCCAAGGATGTTTTTCTTCTTTTTTCTGGCTCTTGTTTCAAAATCTTTTAAAATTAAAAAATCCCAAATATTATTAATGTCTCAGAGTTATATTTTCACTCTAATGCCCCATTCTGTTTCATCCTATATGTGTTAGAGAGTCAGATATCATAGAATCAGAGAATCATGGAATAGTTTGGGTTGGAAGGGACCTTTAAAGGTCATCTAGTCCAACCCCCCCTGCAATCACCAGGGACATCTTCAACTAGACCAGGTTGCTCAGAGCCCCATTCAACCTGACCTTGAATGTTTCCAGGGATGGGGCATCTACTACCTCTCTGGGCAACCTGTGCCAGTGTTTTACCACCCTCATTGTGAAAAATGTCTGCAAGAATGTCTTCCTGGAGCCTTCTCTTCTCCAGGCTGAACAACCCCAACTCTCTCAGCCTTTCTTCATAGGAGAGGTGTTCCACCCCTCCAATCACTTTTGTGGCCCTCCTGTAGACCCACTCCAACAGGTCTGTGTCTTTCCTGTACTGAGATATAATCTCACTTATTTACATTCTCACCATCATGTACTGACACAGAACTTGTCTTTCTAGTGCATCTCTCAACCATTAGCATCACCTATTCTCTTTTTATGAAGCATCACTGCATTTAGTTTGTCCCCCATTTTGCAGCAGACCTAGACCTGATTTTTTTTTCCAAAAGTGACACACGAGAAAGCTGTCCCTTACTTTTGATCCTCAATGTGCAATCTCTCCCTTGGTTAAGTTTCAGCTGCCCACTCTAATACCCTTTTTTCCAGTCCTTTTGCCTCTCACTTGTCATCTTCTAGCCTGTCTAATTAGCCTGCCTCACCAGTTGTCTTCCTATTTCCTCTGGTTCTACTTATACCCTTGTCAAATCTCTTCACCAGTACCTCTTTACAAGAATCTGCAGTGTTAGTTGCCCAAATGCAGAAATGGGATTCGCATGCAAAGGGAATCATTCCAATGGAAAAATAAATGTTTCACACCAGAAGACTGCATTCCCTTAAGCACAGAAGTGATTTTCCTAGTTGATCAAGAAAGCTTCCTCTAACTCAGAATCTTGCCTATAAATAATCTCTTCTTAAGCTCAAAATTGTGCCATCAGCTTCTTCCTACCACACCACTTGCAGTTTGTTACTGTTCTTGGTAGTATTACGCAGTATTGTTTTCCCAGGTCAGAACATTTGAGCACCCCTGCCATGCAAAACAATAAATTCTATCATTCATAGCTTAAATAATGCATAATACATTGATACTACCAACATACATGTATACTGATGTTTTGTTAACACCAGTGATACAACATATGGAATCCCTTTTAAAGTTAAAGCACATGATCGAAAATCCTGACACATCCCTTTTCTCTGCTTGGTGGAACAGGCTATAGCTTGAAATTGTGTCCCTTCATTTTAGTGTTACTTCTGGCTTAAATCAGTACCGCTGCACCACGAGCCATCAGAAAAAACTGTTGCACAGTGCAGAAGTCCAACATGATTCCAGTCACTTCCCGCTGCAAGCCCCCCGAGTGGATAACAAAGCATGTTGGTAGTGGGGCCGTGCGGCCCGCCGACTGGTGGTCGGCAGACCAGGAGAGGGAGACAAGACTTCTTGACCTTTTTTTTTTCTTTTTTTTTTTTTTTTTTTTAAGGACTAGATAAACATGCCTGGAGATGTCACATCTCTTGGCTGATGGAGATGATTGCTCTGTGGCATGCTTGCTTCCCTCTCCTATTTTAAAAGGGAAGAAAATCTCCATTGAAAAACAAAATCATAACAAAAAAGCAGCAGGGAAGACCAAGGGATGCTATTAATAAAGGGAGGGCTCTTGCCAAGAAAGACTGAGTTTTCCAGCGGCCATTTTACCACCCTTGTTTCTTTATTAAACTAAGCTGTTTTTAATGAGATCATCTCGTTTTGCAGATGTGGTCCCAGGCTCTGAACATCCTCCCATCTGTTTTGTTTTGCAGGAGGCAGCACAGGCACCTCCCCGACCACCTCCAGCACGGGGACCCCGTCGCCCTCCGCTTCCTCTCACCTTCTCTCTCCATCCTGCTCCCCTCCAGCCTTTCATCTGGCCCCCAATACTTTCAACGTTGGCTGCCGGGAGAGTCAGCTTTGCAACCTAAACCTGTCTGATTATCCCCCGTGCGCCAGAAGCAACATGGCCGCCTTGCAGAGCTACCCAGGGCTGAGCGATGGTGGCTACAACCGGCTGCAGAGTGGCACCGCTTCCGCCTCGCAGCCCTCCGAAACCTTCATGCCTCAGAGGACTCCATCTCCGACTCCTTCCTCCCTGCCCAGCAACAGCAAGATGGAGGCGTACAGCGGCCAGCTGGGGTCCTTCCCCAGCTCCCAGTTTCAGTATGTCATGCAAGCAGGCAACCCTGCCTCCACCTCCTCCTCTTCACACATGTTTGGTGGTAGCCACATGCAGCAGAGCTCCTACAATGCCTTCTCCCTGCACAATCCCTACAACCTCTATGGATACAATTTTCCTGCTTCCCCCAGGCTGGCGGCGAGCCCGGAGAAGCTCACCACCTCCCAAAGCACTTTACTCTGCTCTTCCCCGTCCAGTGGGGCCTTCGGAGAGAGGCAATACCTTTCCACAGGTATGGATCACGGGATGCACATGATCAGCCCTCCCTCCAGCAACCAGCAGACGGCCAACGCCTGTGACAACAGACAGTATGCGGCGGTTCAGGGCTCCTCCTCACAGATGTCTGTGCACATGGTCTAACAAGCCATGCCTTTCCTTGGCATCGAAGGCAGCTGGACCTTCATCATTTCCAAGGGTAAACCCATCCCAGTACCTTTTTGCCTTCAAACTTATAGTGGAACTAGTATTGTAATGATAAATAAGAACACAAGCCATCTAGGTATGCGCCACAAAACCTTGTGGAAAGCTTCAACTGACAGCCACCACAACTTGTTGGAGCCCAGGGCCTCCAGACCTGGCACGGAGCGTCTACTCTTTCTGGACTTTGCAGAGAGAAGGGCATGACTTTAATGAGAAGCTGGCGAGAAGCAGCTGAATATACCGTTTATGCATTAACTCTCAGCTTGTGTGAGCTCTCGGCGTGGAGGGAGCCGTGCCCCGGTGCTGTCCCCTCTGGGTGTTGAAGAAAGGCAGTATCCCTAGGCTTCATCCTCTGAAGCTTCACTGCCCATAGCTTTAAAGACCTCCTCCTTCCCAGATCATTCCTCACTGCTGGAGTGGCTCAGCCTGTTTCTGAAGCCAACAGCAGCTCATGGCTCCTTCTCCCACTGTAGCACAGGGATGGTGCTGCTGGGCTGGAGCTTCTCCTCCCAAAGATGTTTCTGCTTTTTCACCACGGCTCCACACAATGAGTGGTTTCTTTGTGAGGGTCGAGCTTACCAGTACCCAGCCTGCAGATGGAGATGGGAGAGAGAGAGAGAGAGGAGAGAGAAAAGTTTTAACCTACAAGTGAGCCTCAGACATAAGCAGGGACTGATCTTCAGAAAGATGCATGGGGGAGAGGGGGCTCAGCTCCTGTTGGTATGACCTAAAGTGATGCACCCAAACCGAAAGCATGGCAGCCTTTGTGGGGAACGCGTGTCCTGTAGCACTCAACCCAATGGGAGGAAACTGTCCAGACTGAGCTCACGGGGAAGAGCAATGAGAAAAGAGAGCTCCGCTCTACAGAAGTGCAGATGGCCTCCCTCATCTTGCATGCAAGAGTTGCCATAGAAAACCATTAGCATTTCAGTAACAGTGAGGTCGAGTATTCGCCAACCTCCCGCCTGCCACATGATCTCTGTTTAACCAAATAGATCATTGCCTTTTGACATCTTTCTTTTCTGTTTTTTTTTCTCTTTTTTTCTTCAAATCCTTTAAAAATAAGACAACAATTGTAGCTTGGTGCAAGCTATGCATTTAAGTTGTGTGAAAATGCAAATACCAAGTAACAGAATACAGATATTATTGAGATTTGTTGTGAGGTGTTGTAGATAAATGTATTTATATGCCTAGTGGGGGATTCAATATTATGAATATAAAAGAGGGCAATAAAAATGGTATGTAAAATATGTATGAAGAAAAAGGTGTATAAAGATTTGCCCTATGCACGGAACTCTGTTTCTAAGTGCCAAGCACAGAATGCGCTAAATAAATCTTTGCAATTGTTCCCTTTGTGTTTGTCTATGAGGCTTCCTCAGTGGTCTTCTAGAGACAGACATTTTTGTCAGCCTGACCTCTGTACTGGGGAAGATTATGGAGCGGTTGGTCTTGAGAGTGCTCACAGGGCATGTGCAGGACAACCAAGGGATCAGGCCCAGCCAGCATGGGTTCATGAAAGGCAGGTCCTGCTTGACCAACCTGATCTCCTTCTATGACCAGGTGACCCGCCTGGTGGATGAGGGAAAGACTGTGGACTTTGTCTACCCGGACTTTAGTAAAGCCTTTGACAGCGTCTCCCACAGCATTCTCCTGGAGAAACTGGCGGCTCGTGGCTTAGACAGGTTTACTCTTTGCTGGGTGAGGAACTGGCTGGATGGCCGAGCCCAGAGAGTTGTGGTGAACGATGTTAAATCCGGCTGGTGGCCGATCACAAGCCGTTCCCCAGGGCTCGGTTCTGGGGCTGGTCAATATCTTTATAGATGATTTGGATGAGGG